TAAGCATCTCCCGTGAGTTTTCTAAGTGCATAAGATAATCTCTTCTCTCTCGGGATGTGATTGTCATAAAACCATTCATCCATCTCATTCTCCCACTCTAGATAGTCTCTTTTTCCTGAAAATTTATTAAGTTCATTAGCCAAATTATAATATTCAGGATAAATCAAAGATTTGGATTTGGGAGTGTGAGCAATTTTATGTGGGCTGCTCCGTGTTGATCTCATTGTGTCGTCTGGTGGCTTTGATTTAAGATCTTGTTCCTTCCTTTTTCGTGCTCTTTTGTACTCTTGAGAAAATGAATCTATTTTGCTGTCCATTATTCCCTTCATCTTTGCGGAAAAGGCTTCAATTAAGAGCTTGTTTGGGTCGTGGCTTGATCTCTCCTTGTATTTTGACATTTTGACCTGAGAAAATAAGCAAAAATACACCAGTAACAAGTTCCTTTTGAAATAGAAATGATCTCACACAACAAATATAAAACGACCCTTGAAATGACTCTAAAATCTCTTAGGACTCTAACAACGACAGTATGACTTGATCGGACAAAATAAAATATCAAATCTAGCTCAAAAATTCCGAAATCAATTTTAACAAATACTAGACTCGTTCTAGATTCAGAGACAATTGAATTCACAATTTTAGCACACACCAAATAATAATGAAAATTAAAACAAAACGACAAACAGAAACGACTCAACCTCCAAGTGTGCTCTGATACCACATAATATGTTTCTCCTAGAATCGACACACTTGAAGTTGAAGTAAGGGTAGGCTTTGCACCTAAGGGATCGGGGGATCTCTTAGATCAAAGGATGTGGAGCGAATGGTCGCACAAAGGTTGCGGAAGAGCCTTTGATTTACCGAACTTGGACTTGCCTATGGATATTACACACCAAAGAAAGAACAAGAGAGAGTGATCTAACTTAGAAAGAGTTTTTGATAAAAGATTAGATGAGTTCTCAAAAGAGATTACAAGGGGTTTATAAAGAAGAAGGAAGTCTTGGAACACACTCACAAGACTACCTTGGAAATAACAAAATATTAAAGATAGAGTTTGAATAGAAATGACTCTTCAACTACTTATTTTCGTCACTCCTCTTGGCCAGCAAATTACTCACTTGGTTTGGGCTCTTCTTGGGCTTGTAATAGGCACAAAACAAGCTGGACTTGATATATATTCCATTCGGCCAAGTTATGAGTGTATTTTCATGGTTTGGATCAACAAATGGGTGATTTGAATGTGAATCATTTGCCTCATTAAAAACCTTGTCAAGAAAACCCATTGGGACAAAACTTGACAAGGGAAAAAGAGTACAAATGAGACACATTCCCATTTGGTGATCATGTATCAAAACCATTG